CGAAAAAATAACCAGGAAAAAAGTAAATTTAAAAAAACTTACGTTTTTTGCAGAGCATTCCGCACGATGTGCATCCCTTGCACCAAAAATATACGCTCACTAACCTGAAACAACAGAAAAAATACGTTAGTTGAAAATAATAAAAAAAGAAAAAAATCTTGTAACATACCTGATTTTATCCCGTTCCATGCTCTCCATCCTACTGTCCTTTTCCAGAAAATCTTCGTTCCAGACCTGCACCAATCGTCGTGCCTCCTCAGAAACAGCCTTAAGGACAAGAGTACCTTAAGGCAACAGTTAGTGAAGAAGGTACTACGATTGAGACCTTGCACATCGGATATCCCAAGGCCACAAAAATTATAGATTTATTACTATAGGTAATAAGAAAGATTCAAGGTGTCTTTAACAAGATAAATCTGTATAAATAACTGAAGAGATTAAATAATAATAAATGAAGAAATTACGTAGTTACGAGTTAATTTTATTTTCACTTATAATATCACAAGAGCTTAAATTATTTTCGGAAATTTTTTTGAGGGCACGAATATTTTGAAAATTATCCCGAGTCGAAGACGAGGGATAATTTTCCTAAAATATTCGTGCCCGAAAGAAAATTTCCAGGAATAATTTAAGCTTGCGTGGTATTCGGTATGAAAATTTACACCTAAATTTGAAAAAAAATATTAATCCAACATGACATTTTAAAATAATTTCAATTTGTTAAGTTGGCCAAGGTATTGATGTTTTTGACATATTATGTGTTTTGTCATTTTTGTTTGCGATTCTGTCATTAAGCTATTACTAGTTTTAAAACGTCTGTACGTAGAGTAAGAAGTGTATAGCGAAATGTCGCGATATGGAAAAGTAAACCAACAAGTCATTAAAGAAGAAATTGAAAATATAAAACCAGATAACACCCGAAAATCAAAATCAAGTGTATGGAAACAGTTTGTTGAATTTTGTGATGAAAAGTCGTATAATATTCATGAGTGTATGAGTGTAGTACAGCTGGCTACTATACTGGAAATATTACCAACCTTAGTTACATCAAATGCTAAAACTCAAATGGGTAATATTTCAATATATAGACATTGTAGTTCATTCACATTATGATTGTAGATCTTATGTTTATCTTTTCAACTGTCAAAAAATTTCCACTATATCTTTTCAACTGTCAAAAAATTTCCACTAAAGTTTCGTGGCGCCTCGAAAAAATTTCCGGAAATTTTTTCAGTTGCCATGGTAACTAGTCAACATTAAAGCATGTTATTGGTTGAAAAGTACAGGTGTGAAATTTTCAACGGGAATTTACTTTACTCGAAAATGGCAATTAATGATGTGCAAAGTGCATTATCTTAAAGTTATCAAACTTAAGTTTCATTATATCCTTATTATATTAAACATGAACAAAATTAAAAATATTTTGAATGGTTTTAGTTTAAACGTTCAAATTTATTAAGGAACATGATACCTCATAAGTTTTTCTTTAAATGTAAATAAAAAAAATAGTAAAATGATGATAGAAAAAATAATATTTAATCCTATGACAATGCCCTACAGAAAACTATTCCAGAGACTGGAATAAAATGATTATTGTTTGAAATTTAGTTTATAATTACAGAAAATAAATGTTATATCCTTTACAATTTTTAGAAAGAATATAGTTTCCCAAATATCACTAAACAGAAAACACTAAAATAAGAAAGGCTGTGAACCTCAATTACCTTAGCACTCCCCATTCAACACTACCGAGACTAGATTACGTATTCCATTAAAGTTTGAGCAAAAAAAAATGTTTTTCGGTAATAAATGAGAAATAACAGAATAAAAGTCAAATTAGGTTTAAATTATTTTGAGAAATAGACACCTCGAAAAAAATTAAAGATATTATTTCTTGTGATTTTTACAAACGACAAGAAATAGAAAAGATTATATGATTCGAATCAACGCAAATAAAAAGTGTGACCTTAAAATGCTGTGAAAAGCCTTAACAGCTCCAGAACCACGAACCGACGCGACCGTTATGCTTTAGAAATAGTTCTTCTATATTTCCTCTTCATCTGCATACTGAAACAACGATAAAAAGAAGATCAGTAAAGATGCCCAAGTCCAGAAAAGTCCAAATAAATTCAACTCACCTCCATTCCACATTCTTTTACTGGCGATACCTGCTACACGGCGTAAAAGGCAGTGTCGTCACACTGCGGGGGGAAAAGGACGCCCCTGCGTCTTCAGAATCGACAGAACCTGGAAATAGTTTTTAGTAGCAGGACATCTAACACAGACTGACTAAATTCACACGCGCTGCGTACACGATCATAGTTCTGGAAAGATAGAAATATTTTTGAATTAGATTTATGGAAAAGAACTGGACAGATGTGTGTTCAGACTTACCTCACTAACACTGACACTAGGCTGAATATGCTGGACTACGGCCCATCCCATCATTCCAATTAAACGTCAAGAAGGATGTCCCTCCTCCTCAGTGCTGGCTGTCCATCACAGGGTAAATTTTATATTTTGAAATGAGCTCTATCGCTTTGACATGAGATTATTAGGAAAAATTAGTTTAGATAAGATAGAGAGTTACGCAAAATAATTTAGATACAGCGATAGAGCAGAGAAAAATTTAATGGGGCAGAGCAAAATTTAAAAAAAGAAATGGTCCCTTATTCCAATCTCTTACAACAGTGAAAAGAAAACCCTAAAATAACGACAGACCGGAACCGTCACTATTTTAGCATTATCAATTCATTCATCTCAAAGACCAGTAAACTAAATAAAAATTATTATAAGTTTGATTTGAAATTATATAAAAATATAGAGAATAAAACAGTTTAAATCAGAGTGAATTTACTTAATTTATACGTGAACGGGAATACTAAAACAAGAAGGCTGTTACTCTGAATCGTAATAGTATCATCCATTCACAAGAGACCATGTAAAAAAGATTATTTTAAACAAAAATTATGTTTTTTAGTATAGTTTTTAAGAGAGAGAATCTATTATAATCCCATTAACGCCAGAAAGAAGACTTAAAACAAGGAAGGCTGTGAACCTCCATTGCCGTAGCACCCTCGATTCAACATTACTGAGACTAGAATAGCATGATTATTGTTTTAAAATTTTAGAAAAATATGGTAACACAAGAAATGCTAAAATAAGAAAGGCTGTGAACTCAATTTTTATGAAAGAGAAAATCCAATCCCAAATAACGCTAAAAAGAAAACACTAGAACAATAAAAGACTTGGAATCTCCACTGCCTTAGCACTCTCGATTCAACATTACAGAGACTAGAATATGGTGATTTAATTTGGTTTAAAAATAGAGACAGTAAAAATTAATTATTTAGAATTTTTAGAGCGAACCTAATCCCAAACAACGCTAAAAAGAAAACACTAGAACAATGAAAGGCTTGGGATCTCCATTGCCTTAGCACTCTCGATTCAACATTACAGAGACCAGACTAGCACTAAACAGTAAAATAAGAAATGCTATGAACCTCCATTACCTTAGCACTCTCCATTCAGCACTACCCAGACTTGGTAAAAATAAAAAACACGAATTTTTGTTACAATAATACTTAGCAAAATGAATGGTTCATTGAAGATCCGATTTTCTGGCACATATGCCGTTAAAGTTTTAGTAAAAATAGGTTTAAACCGGTCATAACTCCAAGAAATAGAACCTTCATAAACCGTTTAAATGGACAGACCAAAACACCGGAGAGAACCAAAGGCACGGCGGGTGTTGTTCCAGTCAATTCGAACCTTTACGGAATCTTGGCCAAGCCTCGACCCTCCGATACCAGCTTGATCCTCCATTCCTGAAGACATTTGTTCCTTGGAACCCTGGCCAGACCAAAAATCACCGGGCTACAGGGCGACCCACCTCAAAAAGAATCAGATTAAGAATTTGACGCTGTCGTCGAGAAAAACCATTCGACGACGGTTTTTATTTTTCGAGTAACGAGGCAACCCGGAAAACAAGTTTATATGCCTGCGTTTTTCAGTTTTAAGAGGAGAAGGAAAAATATAAAGACTTTTACTAGTAAAAGTTTTATATTGGTGGTCACCAACTTGCAAGGCGCTAGTACGACATCGGAGGCTGAGAATAACCACATAGTTTTATGACGTTCCGATCGGACAATTTAACGTAACGTCTTCTGCCACATTCCCACCACTCAAGGACCAGCGTTTACCTGCCCTTTCCGGTCCAAGAGTGCCAGATGAGCCCAACCCACTGCACCCCTTTACAAGCCTCCTAGTCCTCTAATTGAGCTGAGCCCCACTCGCCAGACACCCTTTACGCTTAGGACAACAACCCGGCCCCATGGGATAGCCTGCATAGCATGATATAAGCTTACGCCCGGTAATGGAGCGGTCGAATAACATACCCACTGGCAGACTACAACGCAACGAGCACCTGGGAACCCCGGCCTGTTACCGGGGCTGTAATAATATGAGAACGAATCCAGGGCGAAACAGTCCCAGGCCTCCGAGACTGGCCCCTCGCGACAGTCCCCACAGCCCACAGATTGCATCGCAACCACCCCGCAACGCTGCTGTTTTTGTGTCTATCGATTTTAGAAAAATACGAGCACTAAAAAGTACTCGTACTTAATTATTATATAAAAATACTAGCACTAAAAAGTACTGGCATTTATTAGATACTTCATGTGAAAGTTTCTGTTAAAGTGATATTAATTTAATTTAATTATAGTTTCAAATATAGAGATAAAAATCTCTGTTTTTGTGGATAAAAGTCTATAAACATTTCTTATAGAGTTTTATTAGCGTTAGAGAAAAAGAGTGACACTTGTGATATTGAACCCAGACTAAGTAAAACGACGGATTAATCTAACACGAACTCAGCGGTCATGTCTTTAGAGCCTGATAGTAGAGACATTAAACCGCACGCTTACTAGCTGGGAGCGTTGATGGATTTTCACGTGATAGCATTCCATGAGCCGTCTGCATGGGTAAAGTAAGTATAGTTTGGTAATTACAATTGTGTGTCCCCATTCGATTGCGATCTGAAAAGAGAAAAAAAAAATACAAAAAGATCCCAAACAACCCTCTGGCTTTTAATAATAAACATATAATCTTGAATAATAATCAACGAATAGAGTTATTGAAAGGTAAAATAAGAAATATGTATATGTAACACTAAAAATGTGAAATAAATATACCGGGTGTCTCAGTATTCGCGCTTCAATAAAACACCTCAGTTATACAGGGCATTAAAGAGTGTAGGTCTTTTTAACTTTTAACTACTCTATGTGGTAGGGAAAAAATGTTTATAGACAAAAAAGTTTGCAAATTAACCATAGATTTAGTAGGAACAGATATCACATTAGACATTTTAACCCGATCAAACAATCGGAGGTTGACTACGTACTGTAAAAACCAACTGAGATAGAGAAGGCGACATTGCCACATCTCAAATTTGCGCCTATCTACTTAGTTTAATTTGCAGAAAAGGTGACTTTAAAACCTTTACCGGATATCAATAAATCTCAATTTCTTAATTAAATTAATAGTTTATTTTTAAAGAAGCATGCGTAATAATATGTTATTAACTAGAGGATATATGCGTTACTATTAAAGACATGTTTACTGTTTAATGTGCTGAAACGTCTAGAACTATTGGCAACGTCGCTGCTAGTCTTACAGAATGAAATGAGCCGTCCGTCCCACCACCCCTCGCGACGGCCTTTGGTCCGTTATAGTGTACTACGTTTAGCTTACGGTGTGTTTGAAGTCGGAATCAAGTCCGAAGTGAACTTTTCAGTGTTTTCAGTAGTTTTTGCTTTTGTTTAACGTACTTTTGAATCTGCGAATTTTCAATATGGTACGACAGTGTCAAATGTGTGGAAAAATAAGCTCAAATTACCCGAATTTGTCTCTTCACAGGTAGGTATTGTTTCAGCCGCGCCGTAATCGCCGTACATAGGCGTCCCACAAGGGAGCCTCTCACAATTAAAATAATTTCTAATTATATTTGTTGAATTTTGAGCTATTAAAACAAGAACGTAGTAGCCGGTAATTGAATTATAATTCGTCTCAATTACTACTTAACTGTTGTAGATCATAACAAATTTGAATATAAACGTTGCATTTGAAACTTTATAATAAGCCAGAAAGTGATATTTTTTTCTTAAAATTGCATCATATTTTGGTCATTATATACGATATTTTAAAGGAATTTTGCTCAACAAATAAACAAAGGTGTTTACCCGCCCTTTTTACATTTTATTGCATTATTATATCTGCCCTTCGGCCTCGTTTAAACAATTTTTACCACCGTACAAATACCTCTTTCTAGAGAATACCCTCTTTTTAGAATGGGACGAACTGTAAATAATTCTTAGGCTACTAGTTTTATACATACCTATATACAGAGTGACCCAGGCCTCCAAAAAGCTTTTTACCTATTACGTTTTAGGTTTGTAATTTTTATTTCAATTTTTACATAAGATGAGGGCCATTGTAACGCACATTTTCAAAATATTTTTGTCAACATACAGGGTGACTCTCGGGGTGATTCAAACCGCAATACATATGCTTAATACAGTTCATGAAGATTGGGACATTTAACTAAATTTTGATTGTCTGATGAAGCTACCTTTAAAAGTAATGGATTTGTAAATAAACGTAATATTCATTATTATGCGACAGAAATCCCATACTGTAGCACACAGATTTGATACTTTTAATGATAAATGCCTTCTATTGAGAGACTAAAAGGTAATTGCCTCGTATCAGAGCCATCATAATACAAGAAGAAGACCGAAAGTCAAATCTTGTCTTATATTTAAAAAAAAAATACAATTTTGTCATTAAAAATTGATTTTTGGTATAGGAAGTCATTAATAATACAAGATTAAACAACTATTACATAGTACTTTACAGGAAGCTATCGATTGCGAACTAACTAAATCGTTACTAATTACTAATTTTAAAAAGTTCTTTTTAAAATCAAAAAAGGTAAAACTAAAACCTAAATTATCATTTGAGATTAAACGGGAAGTTCTAAATAATGTTGCCTATTCTAAACAAGGAAGATGTATTTATAAGTTTTATAACATCTCTAATTAAATTTGGACGAAAATAATATTTCTGTTTGCTGTAGGTAATTTTCTCAGGGAAAATACGTAAATAAAAATGACTTTTAAGTCAAAAAAGTCAAAAGGACAAGTTATTCAAAAGGACTGTCCTTTTCAAAAAGGACAGGTGGCAACCCTAGGTATTTCTGGAATGGAAATTTAACGGCAAATCTACAACTTTAGTTTGAAAATATGTTCAGGCCACCTATGTTTACAAAAATGTCTAAAATGTGCTTTACCATTGCCTCCATATTCTGAAAAAAATTGAAAGAAAAGTCACCAACCACAAACCTAATATAGAACTGTTTCGAAGCCTGAGTCACCCTATAAATATTCAAAAGTAACTGAAAGTTTATATAGAATTAACTGAAAGTTTAAATTAAAAATCGACGTTGGAGCGATTTTCGAAAACTACCTACTAACGTTTCAACATAAGTATATGTGGGATATTAATTATATTATTATATTAGACCTTATAACAAAACTCATCTGACGAAAAAGTGTTAATGTAGTATATTAATATGGAGTAAACATTTTACTAATTACTTTACTTTTACTTTACTAATTAAATTCGTTCCAAAAAACGATACGCCACTGGCCATTAGAACAATCAAGGAACAATCCAAATGCGCCTAGTTGCCGGGGTCGGAAATTTAAGACTTCTCTGTCTCTTCTGTCCTTGTTTGACACATTGGAATGTTTGATACACTACCAACGAGTATTTATGAATGAGATGTTCGGTCTATATTTATAATGTCTTTGAAATTAACAGATATATGCATTAGAAAAATATTTATTTACCAATTGGTAGTAGAATAAAAAAATATATAGTAAAATATTACAAGTTAAGTAGCTGCGTGAACCCCTTGTATACCGTACATCCAAATAATTATTATCAAATTAAAAATAATTTTAAAAAAAATCATTAAGAAATAGTATAATAAAAATAAAATTACAATAAAGTAACCTGGAAATTAACATGATTTTAGGAAAATCTAATGAAATTATATCCTTTAAAACAGCTAATAATGTCTCTTAGTAATTTCTGTAAAAATATTCAAAAAAGAAAACAAAAATATATAAAAATCTTAGTGTAATCTGTTTTTGAAATAGTAGGTGGATAATATTGTAATTTTGGTTCACCCTATATACCGATGAGTAGGTACTAAAAAAAATTGTTACCAAGAAAGTTCAATAGCTATTTAATAAAAAATTATTTAAAAAATAAATATAGATAGTAGAGATAGTAGCAATATTTTAGGAAAATTTAATGAAACTATAGGTATCATTGAAGACAGATAATAATTTCTCTTAAAAATTTCTATAGATATTCAAAAAGAAAACAAAAATATATACATATTTCTGTAGAGATTAGTAGTGGATGAAAAATTAATGAAATATCAGTAAAATATTTGAAAATCTTGACAAAAGCGACAAAAATTAGTATAGTGTACCAACCCCAAGCACATAGTCTCTAAGAAATATATAAAATCAATGAATTAGCAAACAAAATTTACTAGCTTCAGAAAAACTATCAATAACAATAATCTACCTACCTATATTAAGTTCCTAAATGTTATTTTGTTTAAATGCATCTTTTGTAAATAACAAACATCTAATCTAATACATCTATGCTTTTATAAAATGAATGCAAATATATTTCAAAAAAAGTAATAAATGCACAGTTAATAACACAGACTAAGCATAAAAAAGGCAAAACTTTTATTTACTGCCTGATAAAATTTCGACGAATCGGAAAAGAAATGACGTTATATTCAGCCAATAGAATTGCTTTTAAGCTGGCCGCTTTAAGAGGGCCCGATTCGTCGAAAAATATCAGGAAATTCATAGGCAAATGGTCGTACTTACCATCTCTCGAGTCCAGCTGGGCCCTACCCGCGATTGTACCGAGCAAAATGTGTAAAGGCGCACATTCACTCCCGGAGTGCAGCACGTCTGGATACAGCGCCCGAGCTCAGGTACGACCTGAGCTATATGACGTGTCCAGACCCATACCGATCCTTGGTCCATTCCATCCAAAGGCAGCCTGGTTTCTTTGCGACTTGAAGATCTTGTATGCTGTGTTGATATTCGTAATCTCCTTCATCTTCACTGGCAGCGTGTGGTCCATATCTGTAACCCTGGATAATTTGTGGCATAATCTAAAACAAGAAAAAATATCTTTTTTCTCTAGGTATATACAGAAAGTTCTCTAGGTATATACAGAAAAAAAAACAAGGAAATAAATAAAATTAATGAATTAATTAATAAACAAAATTTACTAGCTTTCAGAAAATCGATTGCCTATAATTTATTCACTTTTTTCACTATTCGAGGTTTTTATTTCTAAAATACGATGTACATCAAACTATTAAGGTCTAAAACTTTTTTTAATGCAGTACAACGGTAAAAAAGCTTAAAGTACTTTCAATCCACAAGAAAACAAATCTATTTATAGCAACAGAAAGTACATATAAAAAAAACTAAACAGAAAGAATTAATAACAAAATAGAGGCGGCTTTGACTTTTTTTGTTGATTTTGTGCTTATACCGGCCGCCTTTAGATGGTCGAATTTTTCGAAAAATATCGGGAAATTCGTAGGAAAATGGTCGCACTTACCCTCTCTAGCAGTTCAGATATGCAATACACATGTTTTCCGAGCACAATTTATAAAGAAAATGCACTTTTCACTCCCAATTAACAAAAATTCTGGAGACGCAACCGACATAGATGTTACATCGTCAACGGTCCGTCCAAAAATGACGTAGATGGCCCGAAACGACCAATAATATTGAGTTTTGGCGCTCGGTTCATAATTTTTGACGCTAGAGGGAGCCCCCACGCGCGTTTCTCTTTTGTTTTATCGATGGAAAATTATGTATTTTTTTACCTAAATTTCAAGTTTAAATGGAAATTTAGCAATATAACACTACCTTGGAGACTAAACTACTACGAGGGAAATGTAGCTACATGTTTTCCGAATAAAATGACACCAAACAATAAACAAATAAAGCAAAATTCACAAAGATATCGCATTTTTATTACCCCAACATCCGTAATTGTTAATATCATAAAAAATAAATTTTTTGCCTTAAAAAAGGTTTTGAACCTTTAAAATAGTTAAGGAGTTATAGATTAACACTAAATATAGTTAACTAGGCAGTTTCAAACCTATCAAACACATATAAATTAGAAAAAAAAACGAAAATATGATGGCGGTTCGGTAGCCTTGAATATTCAATTAATATAACAAGGATATAACTTTGTTGTTCGATATTTAACTAACTAATGTAATATTTAGTTAAATAGAGCCTTATTACATCTATAAATCATAAAACAAGATAGTATTACCCCAACATATAACTTCTACAGGACATTTTGTTAGTCAATGTAATGGCCAAGATGTCTTGCTTTTATTCAACGAATTATGCACTGAATTCAAAAAGAAATCTCATTTGACATGATTCTGTGCTATTCTAATTATGTTTTTGTAGATTTTTAATAATTTCCAAACCCTAAAACAACACAAGATTAAAGAAGAATTTTGAGTGTTTGATATATTCTGGTTTATCGTAACATCTTTATTTATAACTTGTGCACACTTATTAAACATAAATCTCTTAATATTATATATTCTTTACACGATTAACAGTAAATATTTAGTAAATACAGTATCTTAGAATCTCTAAATAAGAGAAATTAAAAAATTCTAATATACGGAGTTAAACCAAAAGCAACAGGTTAGATATTTCAATTAAATTCAAAGTAATCTTGTTAAATAACATTCTAGTAAGGCTCTAGAGTATATTATTATATACCAGGTACTCAGTAACTTATTTTTTCCTTTCAAACTACATGTTTCAGCATTTTTGATAAACTTCCATTATCTAGAGGATTTTGCTTTTACCATACACATTCTGTACTCAAATAAATAAAACAAGATCTCTCACATGATTTTTATCATATTAATTAATAATTAAATATCACTGTACATTTTAAACAAATTTCAAGTCCAAAACTAACTCGCCCTGTATAATTCAAGTATAATATGGCCTATTTTAGTATGTATATTCATGAAGGAAGGCCCATTCCTGCTGGAAAGCTTCAATAATTTAGTATTTCTCTTGGAATGGCAATTTTAAATCTAAAACTTAAGTGTAAAAATATGTTTGTATCACCCATGTATGTCTATAAAAATATTACTTAAAATGTGTCTTTCTAAACAGTGGATCACTACCCTGACTTTTTATGTAAAATAAAGAATATTGCAAGCTGTTTTTATATCCATTTCTTTCCAAAATATACCACTCTGTCTTACTGGTAACTGGAAAAAATAAAGAAAATTGAAAGACTACACTATTTCTTCTGATAAATACAAATTATTCAACAATGCTATCTAAATTTACTTAATTTTGTTATTTAGTAGTAGTTTGTGTATTCTTTTTGTTCTTTTCTTTCTCGAACCATATCTTCAAACAGAGCTGTTCAAGTAAAGCTTATCGTCTTCCAGTTTTCTTCACTGAAAATCTGGACAATGTCTTCAAGTTGGTGATCAACGTGCCATGCTAATAGGCGCCTATTTAAATACAAATATCGTAGGTCTCTAAACAGAGGGCTATTGCTCTTGCCTAAAAATGTAGACTCAGTAAAATGTATGTTTATTAAATATAGCGACTTTAGTAGAATTAACAAGTAAAATACCTACCTTGCAGCTCAAGTCTTAATATAAGAGGGTTTTCATTGCTCATTTTACAGCTCCTAAAATATTCTATAAAACTTTTATTAAAAATTTTTTAAAAACATATCTATTTTAAGTATTTTTCAATCAACTGCCAATTTCCAATTTAAAATTCAAATATAAACCACAGATAAGTATATCAACAAAAAATTGACAACAAAAGATAGGATATTTGAACTACTACGACCACAAAACACGGATCTATCGATACATCCGTGCCACAGAAGCATAGAGAATGTCCACCATCACTTCCGTTCATTAAACGTCAAACTTGACAAACCTCATTTCTGCCTTCTGCCTTCCATTTTGTTATTTGTGTCAGTTTCTAGCATTTCGTACGTACAATTTCCTAGTTTGATGATTGAATATGGCATTAAATGACGAAAAAAGTGCGTCAAATTCAACCAAAAACAATGTAAAACCGTATGGCA